TCTAAGTTCACTCTTTAACTTTTTGGAGACAAGTGACACATATGCCAGGCTGGCCTCAAGCCTACCTACTTCAACCTTCTAATGCTTTTGCCTCCACTTACTGAGTACTGAGACTGCAGGTGTGGGTCACCATACCTGGCTTATGCAGTACTGAGGATTACACCCAGCACTTCATGCATTCTAGGCAACCAGACTACCAACTGAGCTATATAAGTCCTAGTCCTATTCAATTAATCCTCAGTCACTTTATCTGCTATTCACATTAAAAAAAAAAAGCATAAAAAAAGGAACATGAAGAACATCAACCTATAAAAGATATAACATCGTATTAGTTTCCTGTATGAATATTATCTGTCTTGTCTCAGGAATATAGGCAGATGTCTTAAAATTATTTCAGTACATATGTAAAATTTTACTGGTGTTCTTAACTCTTGTAACCTGAGTTTTACCATAAGCCTTAAAATGTGGACTGCCAATTTTCTAGAATTAGAGTTCTTTAGAAATACAACTAAAAGCTTGAAAATTGTAATGAAATGAAAACCATGTTTACATATAAAAAAGTTGATATCATTAATTTGGCAAACTGTTAAGCATTTAAGCCTAGAGTACACATGACTTCACTGGGCTTTGTGAAAGGAGAGGAAGATGCTTTTCACAGGACTGAGGCTTTATCCTCAGACTCCTTGACTGTGTCTTAAAATATATTTTATACCATATGACAATATACATAACACACATTTTCAAAACTGTCTGCCAGAAAACCTCATAATTTCACTAGAGTGCTAGTCCACAGACTGCCAACCATTTCAAAAAGTGCCCCAGCATGCCGCATTATGGACAGTGAGGTTATTCCATGTGGACAAAGAGGTCACTTTGAGCTGTACATCTTGCAATAGGTTTCTGTATACCTAGCGTGAAGAACCATCTTCAAACACTAGTTAGAGAACTCCATAGATTCATACTCACCTAAGCTCCAACAACCACCATAATAGAAACCGAGAGATGTCTTGGGTTTGTTTAGAATCTCATAACGCTTTCTCTCCCTTTCACCTCTCAACTTACCTAACAGACATGCTACTGCAGATCATAAAAATTTGAGAAATAAATATCACAACTTAGAAACTACAAGGAGAGGAAGACTGTATGCCTCAGATGCATTACTTGCAGTTTGGAATTCTGGAAAGGACAACTGTGGTGAGGAATCATGTTAAATACTTTCAGGGAGGGGTGTCACGTAGCTTTTCTTTTACGATTGAATATTGGAAGCTGCTGTAGCTTTTGTTACTGGAGTCCATAATGAGACATTTTGCTACTTGAAGCAACACAATGTACTCTGAACCATGTGCAGGACCTAGGAGGGTGGCCACCACTTGCTATTCCACCTACTCCACGTGAGGGCACACCTCCACGACCTCTGTGAGAGAATGTGGCAACCTTTCACTGAGCTTATTCAAGTACATTCATTCTTGGGACTCTAGGCAGACATTTTCAGCACGGGTTCATACAATGAAAGTTAATTGAAGAGACCATCTCTTTTCACATAAAAATATAATGTAAGATTTTTACATTATTCCATCAAACAAAAGGAGGTTATCAAGGCCATATTTCCGATCACCACAAATAATAGAAAGACCTCATTTAATGTTTCATAGCTGGAAAGGATTTTAGTCTCCACCAAACATCTCCTTTAAGAGATAAGGAAATAAAGGCCCAGAGAGGCCACTGAAATCTAAGCCCATCACAATTAACTAGGTCAGAAGGGGTAGAAATGAGGTAAGAATTCAGCCCTGGTCTCTGTACCATCACATGGTATTTTCTTCCCTAAATTAAAGTAGCATCTGTTCATATGACTAAGTACGTATGGCTTCACCATGGAGTCATAATTCTTCCTGTTTACTTGTGTTTTTACTACTTTTGGCAAAAGATGAATAGTTTTTGAAGTAATAGCCAATTTATAAATATATATATATATATATATACACACATATAAAGTTTTTGAAGTAATAACCAATTTTGATAGACTCATGTATGTATATATATATATATGTATGTATGTATATAGACAGACAGATAGATAGATAGATAGATAGATAGATAGATAGATAGATAGATAGATAGATAGATAGACAGGTAGGCAGGCAGGCAGGCAGGCAGACAGACAGATATGGACCAGTCAGTCTTAAGTGGTTAATTACTACATATTACTACTACAAAATGTTTTATTAAAGGGGTTGTTAAGATGATTCAGTGGTTAAGAACATTTGTTGCTCTTCCTCAGAATCTGGGTTCAATTTCCAGCACCCACAGACCAGCTAACAACTATCTGTAACATCAGTACCAGGGAATGCAATGCCCTCTTCTGGCCTCTTTTGGAACCCAGCATGCACGTGGTCCACAGAAATACACAAAGTCAAAACAAGCCTAGATGGTGGTGCACACCTTTAATCCCAGCACTCAGGAAGCAGAGGAAGGCAAATTTATGTGAGTTCAAGCTAGCATGTCTACATAGTGAGTTCCAAGCCAGGCAAGACTATATAATGAGAACCTGTCTAAGAAAATTATAAAGGCAAAACACCCATACAATAGTTATTTCATTAAAAATGGTTTTTTATGAAAGCATCACTAAACTATGTAAATGCTATATTTTAGTATCTTCTTGGGTATAAAGAATAATTTGAGAGAACGACATTAAGGAGGTTTGTGTGGTGTTATTGAAAAATGCAGAACAGCTTTTTAATAAGTAAGGTGAACTTGTGCATGGCTGGAGAACCATACATCACTAACGTCAAAGTTGGAAATAAAGACACAAAATCACCTTCCACGACCAATGCAGAGTCTGAAGAGGGGACGAGTAAATAAAACAGAGAAAAACTTCCGAAGAGCATTTTTCTATCATTATTGCTTGAAAAATGACAGGAGGAAAATTTCAAGAAACCATAATGAAATGAGCCAGTTCACAGAATAGGAAACAACAAAAATGTGCAGTATTTTGACTGCAGCCCACTTGGACCAGCACGGTCCAGAAAGTCTTTGTTGCCTCAAGGCAGCTGGTGTCTGTGGATACAAAACCCTTTTTATTTCCATGTCACATTAAATCCTGGAGCATAAAACCAGGGGCAGACTGCAGAACCATTTCTGGTTCCCAAGAAGAGACTATTGGTCTTGCAGCTAATACAGAATATCAACCAATGTTCCCATTGTAATGAAAAAATAAGAATGATGCAGAATGATTAGAAAGTAAGTCTGAAATTCATTCTTAACCCACTTACTTTGGCAGACTGAGAGATAAGAGAAAATAGCCTCAGCATTGAGTCCATAAGACAGACTGTTTACTATACTATATGCTCCCTGGGATAAAGTATCCTAGTTCCCAATATCTATAGATAGGAAGAATTAGCATCATGAGAGAAAAGAAGGGAGTCTTTTATCCTTTTCAATTTTGGGCCCAAAAGAAGGTATTATAATGACTACAAATCAAATAAATTACAAAAGTAATGATAAGTGGATTGACATAATATAATGTACATCTGTGGTCACATCTAATTGGATTGATACAGGAATCAGGTGACACTTAAACACCTTGCATAATCCTAGACATTATACTATATTTGCTTTTAATGATGATGCACTATAACATCATCCCTAAATACCTGGATGCTAGTTAAGTATCCCTAACACTAATTTCATGACTCTGAAGGATATAGCAAACTAAGTCCCCATTAACTGTGCCCAAGAAACGAATTTAACTTTTAATATTTTGTCTTTAAAAAATCTACTGGCATTCCCAGGAATTTAAAATGCTAAACAAATCCAATCCCTTTCCTTACTGTGATGTAGATAGAAGCAGACTATCAAGAGATCAGAGGTTGGGAAAGCACTTGCCTCACGGGCCTGAGAACTATGTGTGGAACACCTGCACCAACATCAAGGGGGCTGTGGCAACACATGTCTCAAGGGCTAACACTGGAGAGAAAAAGGCAGGTGGACACCTGGGGCTCACCAGCCAGTCAGTTCAGTCTAATGTGAAAAGCGCAGGATCAGTGAGAGACCAGACATCCAATGTCTACGTCTAGCTTCCAAAAACATGTACACACATAGACTTGTGCATCTACACACACCTACATGAACACACACACACACACACACACACACACACACACACACACACACACACACATGTGGGAGGGGGAGGTGAAGTCCAGATGATAAAGATATTATTACAACTACCTTTAAATCTTCGGCTAAATGGGCATCTTTCCTAGCTCTAGTCTCCCAGTTTTAGGACTGCCTCTGTCACACATGGCCCACCATGGCCCCTCCCATCACCTAAGAGTGGCAGTAAAACTTTCAATCCTTTCTCTGAAGGCAAAACAATTCCATGCTCGACAGATCTTTCACTGATTCTTTTGAAGCTTCAGGACATGTGCATTTCCCCGACATGTATGTCAAATCACAATCCAGTCAATAAGGATTTATTCAGGGTTTCACATGTACAAGGCAGATGTCCAAATGTCAGATCTACAATGAACTCTCAAACACAAACTTATGGAAAGGAGAAAGAAAAAGAAAAAAACCACTTACACTGTTTCTCTCCCATGTGCCCTCTTGAAATGCTCAGAATAGTTTCTTAAAATGAGTGTCTGGCAGTCCCTATCAGACCACTATTTTCTTAGTTTGCTTTTCAAAATATTTACTATGAAAACTTAGTTTTACTTCTTTTTCCATGTATCTAGAGAAGCCTAAGAATCATGAGGTGTTACTAGACACCAATACCAATATCAATTAATTATACACCTTGACATTTTTTTGTCAGATTATTTAAAAGTGAAGTGTGTGTTATGAATCTCTAGATAGCCAAATAAATCTGATTCATACAAATTGCCTTTCCACAAGCACAGGGGGCAGAGAGGAGAGGGAGAGTGTGTATGACAACCACAAACAGCACAATGATGTTTTTTACCCAAGTGAACCTGTTAGCACAGTCGCTAATGGGGTCTTACCTGCAGCCATAATTTGTTATGCACAGCATCTCTCCCTGTAGCAATGCACTGAAACGTAGCATTCTGCCCTGCGTTGACCTCCACATCACCCAGACGGAGGAAATGAGGGGATTTGTCTGTAAAAATAGGAGGAGAAATACATGTTTTATTCACAAAAAATAATACGTCATGCTACTTTTCCACAACAGAACATTGTCCTTACTATGCCTACATTTGACTAGCACTCACATTCAGAAGAAACGATGACTTTTCTTTCCTCTAGAACACACTGTTTCCTCCCTTGCTAATACTTGTCATACGTATCAACTCGTTTTTCCTAGAGATAGATCTGTGCAGAGTGAAAACTAGATGTTTACTACTAACAGCTGCTCTAGCATGGGTTAGTGATAATAAAAGTTATGTTCAAGGAAGCCAAAAAGATTAAACGGGTAGATATCATTCTAATGAAAAACAGAATGGATCAAGACCTCTACCATTCTGATAGCTACATGGTCACTTAACTATTGACCCACAGTTTAACCAAATGAATCACCATTCTTTCGGGTTTTCAAACTTTAGTAGCTGTATATCAGAGAAAGGAACATTTTTGTTTACTAAAAATGGTATGTCTCCTTCCTGCTTGCTTATAGTCATGGGAACGTTAGGGAAAAGAACCTTCAGACTAACAAAAGTGATGCCTGTAGCCATGGAGCATTCCCATGGGTGACGTGACTGTCAAATCAGTATACACTACTACTTCCTTTTGAATCTGAAGCCCACTCCACGTTTACTGTTTAAGGAAAAAGTGCACAGCAAAGCTAAGCCCCGGTGAAGGTAAACAATAATAATAATATGTGTCTTGCAGAACCATACCACGCTTCAGCGGCTCTTGCAGTTGCAAACATCAATTTCTTTATTCTCCAAACTCTTTCCTTGCCATCTGACATTTAAGATGGAGCCATGAAGGAGCAGACAGAAATACAGTACACTTATGCTGTGCAGTAAGTGAGCTTACTACTTGAACTTGGAGTGGGATCATATTGTTACCTTTCTGAGCATAGAACACACAGGATAAATAATTTGATTTTTGCAACCTCTTTCTCTAGGACCTTCCTTCAGCTGGATCTCAAGGGGAAGAAAACAAACAAACAAACAAAACCAACAACAACAAAGACAAAACACTTGAGCAAGAACAACATGGACCAAAATGAACTCTACTCCAGCAGCACCACAAAACAGACCAAAAATGCAAATCCACAGGTCTCTGCCTAGACATAATTGTCAGGGGAAGAAGAGCCAACCTCCACAGTCTTCACTGTCAACATGATATAATCACTAAGCAGAGGCACAAGCCTTGCCCCTGACATGTTAACCTCATCAAGATGCCCCATCGTGGAGGACTATGGAGCACAAAAGTCCTCTTACACAGGACCTGTCATATTTTGTTGCTGGGAAATCCTATCATGAAGAAAGTGTGAGCTGCTGTCTGGAACTTCTTCCTGGCCCTACTGACTGCTTGCAATAACTGTTTTGGGGAATGTGATTAAGTACAAACTGAAGTATGAAGTTTGCAAAACAATCAGCATTCATTCAAGGGCCTCACAGAACTATGTCCGTAAAGCCAGATTTGTTTCAACATTTTATTTAATGCTGATGAACTCAGATATTTAGGATGATAATAAAAAATAGACCTAAGTTTGGAAGAAGGTGAGTAAATTCATTCTCTTCATTTCCCGAGGGATAAACTTAGCAGGTCAGACACCTGAGACAGATTTTTATTTCCGCTGTTATCGAACTCGGATTTGTTACTTGTCTCTGTGTTCCTAGAGAATGGTAAGATATCCCCAAGGTTCAAAAAGGCCTAGTGTAATTGTGTTTGCACTTACACTTTTGTTATCACTAATTAAAAACAAATGAAAGAATCGTCTCATACACGTAGTTACAAGTCTGGAAAATACTTGAACATTCTATTTCAGTGCTCCTTCCATGAAGCTGGGGATTAACAACAACAAAATGGACGACAACCACCAGGCAATAAACCATCAACGGTCGCCGCCAATCCAAGACGTGTGTTCAAAGGACACAGAAAAATACAACTCTTCATCCAAACCTACCGCAAGGATAACTCAAGACTTGGATGTCGTCAATGGCAATATAACCGTTTCTCCCTCCTGAGACTTCAGCTTCAAATATTACCTGTCAGGAAGAAATGGAAAGCATTTACAACAGTCACTTTTAAAGAATGTCCACAGGAGAAGATAGCTATAATGCCCTAAAAGGAAATTTGATATTTTTTTTTTCTACTAGGAACTTTCAACTGTAGCTCATATGTACTTTGATTTTCTCTTTCTTTTTTTTTTTAATTTTCTTTTGGTTTTTTTCAAAACAGGGCTTCCCTGTGTGGTCTTGGCTGTCCTAGAATCAGCTCTGTACATGAAGCTGGTCTCTAACTCAGAGAGCACCTCCTGTCTCTGTCTCCTGAGTGCTGGGATTAATGAAGTGTACCGCCTCCATCCTGCTTACACTTGGATTTCTTGAACCTTCTGCATGTAACCAAGGTAAATTTTGGAGAGTAGCTAAAAGACTGAGTTAGCACTGTTCCAATGTGCTTAAGCACGTACTAAGGAGTGTTAAGGAGCAAAAGGAGCTTGCCTTTCAACAGTCCCAAATGATCGATCCACAGTAAAAAATAGGGGTTATGTCCAAATACAGGGTTCTATCAGAAAGTTTTATTGATATATATATATATATACACACACATACACACACACACACACACACACACACATACATATATATGTAACAAAACTACATGAAGTATTTTCTTTTAAATTAATGTGTTGTACAGCAATTTTCCAAGAGAAAACAGATTTAGCATCCAGCAATTCAATTTTCTATTTGGTTCTTTTATTCCAGGAGATAAACAGATTATCTGTGGAGTACTCTGCAAAGCACTTTAGGAAATGTGATGGGAAGTTATGTTTAAAGTAACAATGTAATATATAAAATGAAGCTAGCAACAAAAAACATGGCCATTAGGTGAGAAATAATCCAGAAGGAGCAGACACGTAGTTTTCTAGTAGCTTTGATGGAACTTACATGAGAATCAAAACGGAAAAAGCAATAGTTATATTGAAACGGACAAGGCAGAGGATGCTGATCCGGGAAGTGTGGAGAAATATATGATGTCAATGATTCCTAGCATAGACTACCAGCTGAAGGATGTGTTCAGGAACCTAGTCAGAACAGTAATAAAGACCGATATGGAAACTTGAAGAACCAGGTCACTACTGAGTACATCTTCCCATTTCAAGTTTGATTTCCCTGTGACACTTGCATGGGGTGACGCTTAGACCTAACTGGACAGCTCTGAGGAACACTGGGTGAATCTAAAGGAAAGGAACGGAACAGGAAGGAAGTGGGTTATCTCCTTAAGAGTTCAATGGATGGCAAGATGGCGGGGTAAGATAAGGGAAGAGAAGAAAGCCGCTGGAATGGAAGCCAAGATTGACAAGGGGGCTAGCAGAAGTCAATTCAATAAAGCAGGACCAAGTCCTGGCTAGGGAGAAAGAGAAGCACCCAGGGGGTTCAGCCAGGTCAGCACTGGCAAAATACTGAGCAGCAAAGGTCGGGTAAGTTACAATAGCCAGAACACGGCAGGTATCTGTGCATCTAATAGACACAGACTTGAGAGCAAGGATGCTTTCCGATACCATCTGCTGCTCTCCAGCTGTTTTCTCCCTTGTAACGGAGATTGTCGTGAATTCTAGAACCAGGCTGTGGTTCTGGTAATGTAAACATTGTGCATATCTGAAGGGAGACAGTGAAAACCACGGAGCTTGAAGAGGTTGTGGAAAAGCTAAATAGCAAATTGCAGATTTGGGATTTTAAAATAAAAGACTGTAGGAAATAACTTCTAATATAGAAGAAAGTCCAGTGTAAATGAAATTTAGAACTAACTGTTGGTATTAGTCATTGGTAGTTCTCGGGTAACCTTGGCCAGATCAGTCTTACTTCTTACTGTCCGGGAGGAAGAGAAGTGTCTCTGATGAGACCTGTGATAGCATTCATTGAATTCTAACTTTATAAAAGGCAGTGTCATAAACGGCCAGGCATGTGCCTGATTGCTTCTGCAAGGTAGGTAGGTAGGTAGGTAGACAAAAAAACAGGTATATGATAAGTAGAGAGAAAGAGAGATGGAGAGATACATGGATACATAGATAAATGTATACATGGATATATACATAGGTAGTATAGATAGATAGATAGATACATACATACATACATATATACATACATACATATATACAAAGATACACAGAAACACACATACATAGATACATAGATAGATACATAGGTGATAGATAGATAGATAGATAGATAGATAGATAGATAGATAAACAGATAGATAGATAGAATGCACAGGAGCTAATATTTTGGAGCCCAGAAATTTTGGAGAGGGGACAGAAAGATTGTAAGAGCCATAGGATCAGGGAGATTGCTGTGAGACTGCGTCTCCTAGAAATGCCAGCAGCTGCACCCCTAAAGACTGCCTAAGGATGGGCTAAACATGGACAACAGCAACAGACCTGCCAGTGTGGAGGGAGGAAAGCCCACTAGGCCGAAACTCAACACAAAGAACTACAGGCAACTAAGGAATGCTTTGGGCAGAAGCAATGGTCCTCCCCAGGGAAGAGCACACAGATTGGATTCCAATATCAAATAGTCATGTCTGGAACATACCTACAAGTAGCACTATATAGTCTGAATAGGTTATATTCAGGAACATATGTATATACATATTCGTATATCTACCTGAAAACAGTTAATGAAAAGAGAGGCTGTGAATTTGAAAGAGAGCAAAGTTTGAGCAAAGAAATCAAAATTTGAAAAGAAAGGGCATATGAGAAGGTTTAGAAGAAGAAAGAGGAAGGGGAGATGATGTGATTATATTATTATCTCAAAAATAATCAAAAAATTATTACTTCTACAAACACATAGGGTAGCTGCGTAATTTTCCACGGCTTCATTTTGAAAAGGAGTTAAGAACAGGCAGAGACCAATGAGGCAAGAATGCACCAGGCCACCCAGCCTTCGGTGGTCTGCAGTTAAGGTCATCAAACACTGTCCTGATGTGAAGAAGCCAACAGGTCCAGAGGATGCCACTTAAATAGAATTTAGGCTTTAGTTCTGGTTGAAAGTCTAAATTTCTAAATACACTTAAATTGTAAGATCAGGGTCTCTTGAATTAGCACACTGGTGAGATATTATGGGGCAGAATGTCAGAGTTTTTAACATTAAACCCTTCCCATTCTTCCACCATATTACTACATCTGCCGAAAGCCAATAAAAATGGAGAAAAAAATAGGTGGAGACATGTGGTTCCCCTTTATTGCATCCACTCCCATCACAAACTCTCCTGATCACTCTTTTCTATTCCCACTTTGTCCTTGGTGTCTACAGATTTGACTGAAACGAATGCAATTGAAAAGAGAAAGTGGTTTTAGGGGTGGAAACAAATGCTTCAGGAGAGAAAGATGGCTGATTCGTGAACAGAAAAATGGGGATAAAGGAGGAAGGTGTCCTCACATGCACGCGATTCTTCAATATGAAGTAGGAGTGCAGCCACCACACTATTTGCTACAGACCTGAACAAGGGGTTGGTGCAAACTAGGGAAGAGAATGTAAAAACTTAAATAACGGCCGGGCGGTGGTGGTGCACGTCTTTAATCCCAGCACTTGGGAGGCAGAGGCAGGCGGATCTCTGTGAGTTTGAGGCCAGCCTGAAAACTTAAATAAGGTTTAGCTGAGGCACTGATGGGAGAGGATGCTTTCTTCAGGATGAAAAGCCTACAGAGCGCTCCTAGTTTTCAACTCTTCAGGAAATCACAGCAATTAGAGACTCTCCAACCCAGAATATAGATAATATAGGTGTGTAATATAGCATTTATGATCAAGTTTACATAGTCATGTATGGAAAGTGCTATTGGTGTGACTATCTATATGTGATGGCTGTGGAAACAGACCCTGGAAGAATAAGTTTCATTTGCTTGAATGTTTCAAAGAAAGGAAGTATCCAAGGAAAAGGTAATAATACCGATTTTTTAAAACACATTTTAATAAATAAAGCACATGTCCCTGAACAGCTAATCACTGTGGCTATTTCAGTTTGTTCTGGTAGGAACCAATTCAAGTATTTTAACTTCTTGACATATCTTAGTGCTGCTTCAGAATTCTCTAACTTTCCTCGCTCCCCATAAATGTGACTTTAAACAAGATTACTACACCCTTGAGGAAAACTTATTTGTTCATTTAAATTGAGGGTTTATTCAGGACAATAAATTTAGACCTGGATTCAAAAGGAGGCAACATGATTGGCTCTTCATTAAAGGGGGGAAAAGGGTAAGTTTTCTTTCTCGAGACCTCATTTTCTTGGCTAAGTGCTGTCTTTGCCTCATTAACGGAAGCTTGGAGAAACTTCTGAGCTCGGGTTCCTTTACTGCTGAAGTCAGACTCAGCGCTATCACCTCACAGAGCCATCATCACCTTGTGAGGCTCTTCTGTCCAGTCAGGGGAAACAAATCCCAGCAGTTTAATTACGCAGCTTGCTGAGGCTAATCTTCGGGTCAGAGCTGATGCGGGGTGTCAAGTGGTTGACCTGGGCTTCCGGGAAGGAGAGAGCAATACAAGGCAGAGCAGATGGCAATTTTAACCCGTCCATGGAGGCACCCTGGGAACAGGGTGCAAGGGTTCTGCCTTATGCGCTGTTTCTACCCCACTCCATTACCTGAGACACTGAAGGTGCTGCTTCTAATCAAATTTCTGCTAATCCAGCAACATTCCTGGATTATTAACTCAATAAATGAAGTTGAATTAAAGTGGAAGAGCAAAAAGAGGTATTCCCTCCAGAATGAGGGCAATTCCGTCCTCTGGCAAATGGAACAGATTCAAAGGAGGAAACATCATGAGTGCTGAACTTGGTATCACCAAGCTTGCCTCTCACGGTTGGTCTGCTGTCCTGTGTCACTCAACAAATGGCTTGAACATGGCATGATGTAGCTTCACCTGGACACCTCTGATCTTGCTTAGGAAACAAAATCCCTGTCAATAATCAACGATCTAAGTAAAACTACGAAACAAAGTGGAAGATGCCACGCAAGGTACTATGGGTACTAGAGAAATGAGAAAAACATTCA